CCCCCCGAGCTACCCTCACGATATGTCAGACCCGTTTTGGGACACCGATTTATTCCTGAGAAATTAATCAACTCGATAAACGAAAATTGAAATGTTCAGTGAATATTAGAATTCTTCGTAGAATATCCGTTGTAAATAATTTTCTTTCAACTATTAAAGTTTCACTCGTCATTTTGTTTGGAGGCCCCAATAGAATACCAATTAGTCGTAAATATTTCAATTTGGAATTTGAATACTGGTCAGTTGGAGTAGTCTCATATACGGATTAAGTCGGATAACCTGGAAGAGTTCAATGATGTTTGTCAGCCGGGACTGACACTTGTGGAAAATATTTGGAAGTCGAGCGATTGGCCTTCGCGGAAGGCCATTAATCCTCTGGCATTGTCTCTCGAATGGTATATTGCATGAACGTTGGGGATATCTGATGAAAAGTCATTCGCATTGCGCTTCTGTTTAGGGGGTTTATCCCCGAATTACGGGATTTAGGAGCTAATGTTAGTTGGTAATCCTGTTGGAAGTATAACAGTGGATTTCGGAAGGTGAAACCCTTCTGTAATAAATGGATTCATATCAACAGTGCACGGCAAGAAATTTTTGACAAAAATTATCCTACCGTTCTATAAAAGTGTACCATGACTCATCGTTTCCTCATTTCTATCCCGAAATTTAGTAAAAATTAATGTATGATGATTCCTCAATAATCATCTCCCAGGTGCAAATTTTTGATCAATTCATGAAAGTAGAAAATTTCTCGACTGGAAGTTATATTAGGTTTAAAAAACTAGAACTTTTCCATTTCTGTGGTGAATACATGTGACTTGACGCCAAAGACTGTTTACTTGATTCAACTAAATGTATCTCAAGAAGAAATAATTGATACTCCCCAAGATCTTATTCACTTGCAATTGGTTCAAGCATATAATACTTGGTCCAGGAATGAAACATCTCAATAAAAATAATTGAACTCAGATTTTTTATTCAGTTTATACCAGCGTTATTCAATCCAGAATACTGGTCCACTTGGGCGCATCCTCCGGCTCCCCAGATCTCCAGGAATCCACCTCTGGTCGGAGCCTGCGCCGTACCCCGTTGGTGGGGCACCCCGGGGAGTGCCTCAACCCGATCCCTCACCGGCGATTGGCTCCACCGCCGATCGCCCGGAGCTGATTCGCCGAGAGCCGGTGAGGCGTGCCGATCTGGGCGTCACCGGTTTTCCCCACCAGCAAAAAACCGCATCAACCCAGTGCCCCTAAGTGTTACCTTAGTCCAGACGAACAGGTCGCTGTACACCAAGAGCCGCTAGTCCTCTCCCGTCCATCGACGTGGCCGCACCTCGGTGTCCCCTGTGTGCCCGCCACGGTCGTGTCTCACCTTAAAAAAAAAACAAAAACAATTAGTTTAGGGGAAGGTTGAACTGTTGATACAGGGCTAGTCGCTCAAGCCCCCATCGGGTCGCGGTTATTCGGCGGATCGGCTGACGCTCGGGGCATCGTCAGTGAAGTTTGACCCACGTGACATCGGAAAATAATTGAGTTTTTTCGAACGAGATTTGCAGGAGAGTGGTGGAACTGTAGCGAGAGTGCTGTCAACCGGGGTTATGTGATTTGTGATTATTTGTTAAGAGACTGTTATCGTTGGTTTTTCGTTGTATTGCACACGACTAGGGAGTTTCGCGGATTTTAAGGTGAGTGACACGGTGATTTCAATGCCTCCGGCGCGGGGATGGGCCTCGCGCGGGCGTTCAAGTCTCCAAATTTTTTTCCCTCTGTTGGCTTAGAGAACTGTTGGATAAAAATTAGGTAGAAAATCGCGGAGAATTTTGCTGGACACGGAGAGAAATGTTCAGTAAAAATTACGGAACTCATAATTCTCAATTTGAGTGACGGTATTGTAATTTTTCACAGGAAATTCCGATAAAAATTACGGAACGCTCTGGAAAAACTCCGTGACAGTTCCGTAAAATTTCCTACAACCACATTTCACTTCGTAATTACGGAAAAAATATGTAATTTTTATTGAATATTTCTCTCCGTGGACGAAAGGTAGTCGTCGAGCGAAATGTAGTTCAATGAAAAAATACCCGTTTGTGGAGGGTATTTTACGATTCGTTGGATAAAAAATACATCTGTGGATGCAAAAATTATCCTCCTGTGCGGTAATATTTCCCACGCTGGTAGGGTATTTTTTTTTCACACATCTGAAGGTCGGAACGAGTCGAAGTAAAATTTTACCGATCGCGTTCGGTAAAAAATCATTCTCCGTTATAGAAAAATTACACGCAATACCGAGCAATCATTCATGTTCATTGGGATAATTTTTTATGGAATGCATGGTAAATTTTGCAGTTTCGGCACAAATTACCCTCACGTTCAGTAAATTTTCCGGGGGTAACGGAAAAAATTTCACTATTCGTCTCGCGCTTTTTCCCCGATTTATGATGAAAAATTACTGAAAATCGAAAGATCAAATTACAAAAGGGACGCGAGTGGAATATAATAATTTGAACGGTTTGGTGAGACTCAGTTCTCTTCCATTTAAAAAAATTGTTTCATTGCCTTCGCGGCAAAAACGGAATCATCTCGATACCTTTTCTGTTTTATTGCGGAATGTCCGAGGGTTGCCTTTCGGTTTCACACACGTGCACCCGCGGAATGAAAACATTAAATGTGCCCCGGCGGTCTCTGTTGCTATAATATTTGCGTCTTGCCATTCGGCGGATGAAGGGTCGACCTTTTCTCGAGGGTCCGCATTTGTCTCGTGTGAAACGTTACAATTATTATGCATATGACAATGGGTCCTTCCGTGTCAAAATATATTTATTGCAGTTGTGTTTTTTCTTCTTGAGGTCGGGGAAGGAGTCGTTTTGTCTCGTGTTTCGGGGGCTTTGTTCATTGGGCATAAGTTGGTCAGATACGAGCCGGAAACGAGGCTGCGGTATGTCGGAGTATTGTGAGGACCCTTGTGAGTTTTTCGTACGGTTATTATCGGAGTCGTCTGACTCGTAAGGTGATTGCTTGGGGTTGTTTTATTGGGTTTTTTATATTTTCGTTTTTTTTTTTGGAGGGAGTATTTGCATACTTTGTGGGAATGGTCGTCATCGGAGTTTTTGCGCTTTGGAAGAAACATTTCAGTAGCGAAGCGGTAAAACGATTAAAGTCAACTTCGACTATTGGCCGGTTGTCAATGAATATCTCGAAATCTATGGGAGATGACAAAATTTTTGTTAATACCTTTTTTATAGCTCTGAATGTACTCTACAAAAAAGGTAGATACGATAATTTCCATATCTCGCTTAAATTCGAAGATATTCGTCGAAATCTAAGCTAAGGGCTAATTGATTGAAAAATTGATTTATTAAAAAATTCAATAGAACAATTCTGCGTTTTCTGCAGGAAATTCTATTGAAATGCTTTGAAAATTCTGTTGAAAAATTAGATTTGTTTTTTACGCCGATTCTGTTCAAAAAAACACCAAAAACCAAATAAAGTTTTCAATCGAATTCCATTAAAATTCCAATAAAAATTTGTGAGAAAAACAATTTGAAGAAAAACCTCGAATTTCCAAACGAATCTCTTCCGCGAGATATTCCCTCGTCATCGCCACATCCAAGGCGTTAATTCCCCCGGTAGAATACTTCTCACACGATGAAAAAAAATTATTGTATATAGAATTAATTCCTAAACCGACGCGTCCAATTTTTTCTAATCTCTTAAACTTCTGAAATTGCTCCCGGAAATGGATAAAGTTTTTTATTCCCCCAATGTCCCACGAAATCCAGCATTTCTAAAATCCCGTGAATTCCAATTTTATGGCATCCATATAGTTTAGGACATAGGTTTTATTGAAGCTCTCCTAACTATCGCAAAGCTTAATTGACCGTATCGTTGCATTCACTATTTACGACCCGATAATTTCCCTTATCACAAACGGAAACAGTGCAAAAACACCTTGACCTAACGGTTTTCGTAATCGCTTTTGAGTGGAGCCCTTATCAGTTTTATCGTTGACATGTCCCAGGAGACACACGCGACTGGCACGAGGAAACTTACGAGTAATTTTTTTCTCTCTTCTCATAGATAAAGGGGAGTAATCGTGAATGACATGATGAGGAAAAAAATAAAAGAAAATAACAAAACGATTGAGATGAATGAATTAATTTGAGTGATCATAGTCGTGGAAACGCCGTGGGAAATATTTCATTTCCAATCATTGTGGGAATGTGATATTCCCGCCCGTGACGCGGAAACGTTCTAATTATAGGTATTACCCAACTTCCCGAGAAACGATTTACATCTAACATGATTCTTCCTTTTGCTCCAGTAACTCGAGATTTAATTAGATGAATTTTTTTTCGGTCTTCTTTTTCATTTATTTGTTAGTCATTGGGATGAGTCATTTGTTAGTAGAATGAGTGATTTTCATTTTTTTCAATCATTTTTATGATTAATTTATCGTCAGGAATAAGGTTTTATTCTTAAAAAATTATATTGTTATTTATTTATTTAATTACATTTTTTTATTTTTCAGTCTCTATTTTTCATTTTTATATGTATGAGTGATTTGATAATAGATTAATTGAATTCAGATATTTGTTTATCGAACTACATGATTTTTTTATTTTTAAATTATGGTTTTAATGAAGATGATTTAATTGTGTTAAATAAATGACTCATTCATTGCAAATAAATCTTATACTTGAAGAAAAGAAAAGATTTATTACATTCTGATAGTGAACGAAACATTTGTTTATATTAAACAAATTATTTATTATTGAAATAAATAGTCAATGTTATTTTTATTTTCATTGAGATGAGTGATTTGTTAATAAAATGATTGAGTTCTCATGCGATTTTTATTTTTTTAATCACATTTGTTGATCAGTTGTCGCCAGCAATTGAGTTTTTTAATTTAAACAATTATGTAATTGTTTGTTTATTTAATTAAATAATTGTTTTTATTTCTTATTCTTTATTTTTCGTTTCTATTGGGATGAGTGATTTGTTAATAGAATAATTGAGTTTTCATATAATTTTTATTATTTGTTATTCTTATAATTCATTTGTCGCCAGCAACTGAGTTTTCCAATAAAAATGATTGAATAATATGAAATAAATAATTCATTCATTCCGAATAAATCCTACACTAGAAGAGAACAAACAATTTATTTCATTTTAATAATAAACAAAATATTATTTTATATTAAAAAATGATTTATTCGGTATTAACAAAAAATAAAAGAGGAATCCCTACACTTAACCCAAATAAATATTTCATCATAAACAAAAAAAATCTAAAAATTCGTTGAAACAATCAATTAATCATTTTTTATTAATCCTCCAAGATATTTTTTATCCCCCATTTTTTTATTTTCCAATGAATCTCACCTGAGAAAAATGATCGCCCCATTATGATTGGTCTCGGCCTCTTGAACCACATATGTAACATCTGGCGATCGAATTTAAAATACGAAAGGGCAGAGCGAATTGCAACGAAGACGTTAACAATTCCCAGACACGTGTAGAGTTGAGAGAAAAAATCACAGTGAAAAAAAAAGCAGAAGAGAAAGGGTTGATGTACGAGATGCCTTGGAATTCAAATGCGCAATGCATACTTCTGTTAAAAATCGAATCGGTCACGGGCTCGAGGAGTCGAACAATGTGTCGCCCTGGAAATACACTTTTGGCCAGTCTCCATTCTTATTCCAACTTTTTTACGGAGTTCCCCCTTCAGCCTGCCGAGACGAGGCTAAACTGACGCGATAAATGATCCTCGGTGGAAAGTTATTAATTGTCTCTCGGCTCTGGCTTCTGGGTTTTTATTTTTTTCTCCCTCTCGGGCGCTCTTTCTCATTGTCGATCGCGAAAACATTAACCGAAGGAGGTCGACCCTTGACACTCACGGGAGCATCATTTTTCAAGGACCCTGTGAGTCTAGTCGACGCTGGGCTTTTGTGAGTTTTTCGATGCTGGCGGAGCCATCCATCAGGACAATCGTTAAAAACTTATTCGTATGGTACAAATTTTTCGGTGAGGAAATTCTTTTCCAGTTTTCGAGGTTCTGAGAATTATTTGGAAAATGCTGCTTCATTGTGCCGTGGGGATTTGAAGATCTTCTGAGATCATTTTGCGATTTGAAAATTTATCAATGAAATTTGGAAGCATTTTTTTTTTCTGCGTAATTAATTCGTGTGGTACAAATTTTGGTTCAGGAAATTCTTTTCGATTTTGTTTTTTTTGTTTTTGTTCCACAAAAAGGAGATTCTATTTTTTTAAATATTATTTTATATTTTTTTAATGTTAAAACTGGGTGAAATAGTTCTATGTAATTGATAACGAGCGTTGTTCAATGATTTTCATGAGAAAATATCACCATTTTGCGAAAAATTACATTTTTTCAGACGTTGTCTTTTAATAAATCAATAATAAAAATTATTCAAACTTCTGGAAATCTTAATTGATTAAATTCCGAATACAAACAAATTTTTAAACATTTTGGGAATGATTTTTAGGTCTGAAAATTGATTGTTCACGAATTATTCACAAAAAAACTTTATAATCTTCAGTAATTGCAGTTTTTTCATTACCCCATGAATTTTTCGAAAAAAATTCACTCTCCAATTTGTTTCACATCTTGAAAATAGTTCATAACAGTCCAAATTATATAATACAAAATGCCTGACTTAAT